GTGAAATAATGTCGTGGACACCAGACAGTGCAGCCCGATGCCCCGAGCATGATGAGCAGCCAACCTATGAGGAGCAAGCATTAGAGGACCAGCTTACTCAGGAGCAGTTTGATAACGGGTTAGAAAAGGATCTAGAAGTGATACTTATTCAGGAGCAGTGTGACAAGGAGGAAGGGGGAGCAGAAGGAAGAGCAGGAGAGGCTGCTGAAGGTGAAGAAGAAGAGGATGATGATGATGAGGACTCAGAAGAGGGATATGTAAGTCTCGAGGATCCTTTCCCACGGGAAGCCAGAAGGAGGCCAACGAAGAAAGATTTGGACAAGGATTTTGATCTGAACGAGGAGGTAGGAATAAAGCCTTAGCTTGTAAATTTTGCTAAAGCTTTGGCTATGTTACCTCTGCTAACACTTTGACCTGTTGTATATACAGGACCCTCCTAAAACTCAAAAAGGTGACATCGACGTCCACGACATCTCGTCGGGCAAGACGGAGTAGAGGAAAGGAGAGCAGAGGCAACAGCCACAGAGACAGACATTGAGGCCTCTGCTCCACAACCTCAAGACACAACCATGAACACGACTACCAAGCCAAAGAGGAAACGAGGGGATAGAAAAGCAAATCAATATCCAGATAAGGCATGCTATGTCATAACGGAGGTCGGGCCAGCAGGGGAGATTGTTGAGCCGAAGGAATTCAGAGGATGATTTTGTAATGCGATCAGGGCCCTAGTAAGAGATAAATTGAACCTAGTACTCCCTAACTGGAAAGAGGTACCAGAGAAGGAAAATGATGAACTATGGGATAAGCAGCTGAAGCTCAATTTTAGATTTTCGGAGGGTAAGCAAGAACTAGTAAAAAAATGCTCTCAAGATCATGGGAGAGTCATTCCAACGTTGGAGGTCGGAGCTCAACAAGAAGTATATCCAAAAGGGGTTAACTCCCTTCAACGAGTTTGGCAACATAACTCCTAGTCAATGGGAGGAGCTCGTGGCTCAGAAGACTTCACCAGAGGCATTGGAGCTCAGTGCCCATAACACCGAGCTGGCGAAGAGAAACAAACACCACCATCATCTAGGCCCCGGTGGCTACTATGCCAAGGAAGAGCAGTTTAGGAAGATAGACGAAGAGGCCACAACTTCTGGGAATATCGATGTGAAGAATTTGAAGGTACGCTCAAGGAATTGGATATATGCGAGGAGTACAGAATCATCCGGCGGTAATCTTAAGTTTGATAAGTCGGAGACCCAAGAGGCAGTATCAAGGATACTGAAATATGCTGAAGACAAGGAGAATGGCTCATTCAATCCTTCTAGAGAGAGGGACGAGCTTAGCCTTGGCTTGGGAAACAACGAGCATACAGGCCGCACCAAGGGGCTAGGGAAAAGGACGACCTGGAAGCACATATTCAAAGAGGACAGGCACATGTATAAGAAACATGGCATAGACCGGGAGGCTAATCTTGAGCTCCAAGTGAAGGCTCTAGTTGCGAAGGCGCTAGAGGAGCAAGGACGGTCTACGGAGCCACGGACATTAATGACGCCACCGAGAGAACTAACATTAGTTGGCAGCCCTCCGAAAGTTCCTAGCAGCCAAGGTTCCACTGCAGCCACAACCCCCGTCGATCACATACGGAAACCAACTAGTTGCACCTTGGTGTTTCTCAGTGGCCGACAGAACATTGTGATGGAGGTGGCAACGGGTGTGGCACATCCTCCCGATGGCTTACACCATAATAATAAGATACCGCCGGACTACACTAGGGTCGAGGTGCATACCGTGAAGCCCAAGTTCATGCAGTGGAGGATAGACTACGCAACTCCTAAGGGGCTAGTGTTACTCAGAGACGTAATAGGGCAGTTCATCCTTTGGCACAAATGGGACATTATATTGACTGCTTCTTCACCGCCTCTCCCTCTCAAATTTGGATAGAGTTGTTGAGGACGGGGAGATATTTTCACCATCTGATGACCACCACATTCCTGAGAAGCCACATTCTTCCCTGCCTCCTAGCGAGCATGTGCCTGATAAGCCACAACCTTCTCCAGCTCGTATCGAGCAAGTGTATAATGAGATGCCACAGTCTTCTCAACAAGCACAGCCGATACATGAACAACAAGTGCCCCCTAAAGAAGGTGATGCACAAGAAGATGAGGGTGTGCCTGAATGGGAACTAATTTATGTTTCGATGAAAGACGTCTCATCGGTGCACAAGTGGTATTCCCATGACCGGTTCAAGCCTGAGAACCAAGTTAAAAAAGTCCCATCACGGGCTTCTGAGGAGGCCGTCACTAGCAAACTCCACCAAACAGCAAAGCAGTATCCAAATGTTGATGCCATCAAATGGTCAAAGGATTGCCTAAAAATATATGAAAGAGGCAAGCCCTTCCTACCAAACTAGGACATCCAGTGCCTATCACTTGGAATGAGAAGGTTCCATGATTGGTACTTGCGTGTTCTCCTAACGAGTATAGACCTCGTACAAGCATGCTTCCCCACCGGCACATTTGGAAGCCCAGCCGGAAAATTATCTTTAACTTCAATGACATGCAGACATGCTTTCATCTCAGAGCAATGGAAATGAATCTAATTCACACGTGGTGCCTATAAGTCCTTGTCCTCCCGATTTGATATGAATGTAATCTTTGAATTTTGTTGTAACTAACCCATGCCATGATTTGTAGAATGCAAGTGCACATTGTAAAACAAATGCCAAGTGTGAAAGCCGGGTATATAGACCCTCAAGCTATAGCACAAACAAATTTTAATTACCCTAGATAGTGGAAACTGGATAACAAAGAGCTAGCTGCTGGAAAAATCCTTTGGGGAAAGAGGACATCCGTGCGAAGAAACTAAGGCAAGAGTCCCTTAAGGTTTCGGCATATATTTCCCTGGCTTTTTAAAATCTCCAACAACACTCTACTATATGGCTACCATACAACTTCGAGTAACTTCAACTCTATACTTAAAGCTTTGTTCGATATATTTTATTCAATGCAAAATAGCTTATGTAGTTCTATGATTAAATCCATACAGCAGCCACTGGATTTGTATAGGCGTCGATGTTGGGAGGAGCATAGCATGGGTCTTTGATTCAATAGATAGGGACCCGGTGACATACAAAGACTTCATATCGATTCTCAAGACGTATACATATCGACAATCCTCATTAGCTTATATGTTTGTACATATACTTGTAACATTCACTTTTGGATACTAACAAGTTGTATTTGTTAAAATAATTCGAACAGAGCATTTAGGTTCTATGTCAATAAATATCACGGAAGGCATGATCCAGTAAGGAAGGAAATACTGGCTATAAAAACACTATGTGTGGTAAGTGTAACTTACTTTAGTACTCCATTACATGGCAGTCAAAAGCATTACTTAACATTTCCATATGCAAAATACATAGTGCCCCAAGCAGAAGCCTGGGAGTGTATATTATGGATACTATGTATGTTCTATGAGTAACACCGGTGCCTACAGGAGACACCCCTTAAGTGTAAGTTTGAACCTCTTCACCCGTAGTATAAAAACTTCACACATGATATGAAATACTAAACCAAAACTTGATCTCTTGTAGTGAAAAGAAGAGAAAGAAATGAAAAGAGACCCATACAAGGATGGCCAACTCTTAGAGCTTGTCGGTGACCTTTGCAACTTCATATTAGACCAGATTATACACGTCAAAGGCACCTATCATGACCGAGATTTTGACTTAGATAAAAATCCTCAGTACCAACACCTTCGTGAGACTAAAAGGCTAGCTCTAGGCCGTTGATAACAATGTGTATGGAATTTGACATTGGTCCTACCTTGTGGGAGCTTCGCCGCGCACCTCGCCACGGTGCGGACTACGCCGCGCCTCTAGGTCACTGCCGCCGACCCGTGCCGCCGCCATCAGCGCCATGACACCTACGCCGAGCGCCATAGCCACCAAGGTGCCACCCTTGGCCCACCGGTGTAATCGCCGTGAGCGCACGAAGCCGTGAGAACATGTGAGCTCGCCGTCGACGAGGAGCGCCGCCACGAGATAGAGAGGAGAGAGAGCTGCTGCGCCACTGTCGCCCCGTTCACCCAGTGCACCATGTGCCAGAGAGAGGGGAGGGAGAAGTGGAACGAATTAGACTTGTGAATTATGTCTATTTAATGATGGATTGTATATATTCTTGTAAATTGAACTTATAATGGTAGTTTATATAATACTTATGTTCTTGTGGTCATATTTGAATTATATATGTTCTGGTCAGATTCGAATTATATATATATATATATATATATATATATATATATATATATATATATATATATATATATATATATATATATATATGTTCTGGTCGAATTTGAATTGTAAATTTGAATTTTATTTTTGCTGGAAAAATGTACTGTAGGGGCGGTTCAATTAGAACCGCCCCTATAAATAGGTATTATAGGGGCGGCTAGTACTATAGGCGCCCCTACAAATCGATTTTGTAGAGGCGGCTGCAAATCGATTTGTAGGGGCGGTGTGGGGACCTCCCCTATAAATCGGCGATTTGTAGCCACGCTTTGGTAGGAGCGGCTAGTCAAACCGCCCCTACAAATGCCCATTATAGCCGCCCCTACAAAGCATATCTGACGTAGTGCTGCAGTACAAAGCCATAGAGTAATATATAGGATAATAATTGGTTATATAATACATCGTTTGTACTCACTAGATTTCACACAAGTCAACAGAATATGCTTGTCGTTTCTTACACGTAACAAAATGATTTCACTAGCAGCAACACTTGAACGAACACACATATTAATAAAATACCTCATATCTGGGAAATACCTTGACGAAACAGCTCTAGACCTTTGCAATTCAAGTTTACACATATGCTGGTATGCATTCCATCCCCACAAACTGAACTGCATATATATCCGATGGCTGTTATGTTCAACGGACGTCCAATAGCTGTTTAGCCCTCGCCACAAGCGAGGATAAAGGTTCACCTGCCTCCATCAGCCCTACATCACCCATGAAGATGGTGTAGTTTTAGCCTTTGCATAGTTTGGACATTGCAGACATATATAGTAGCTTGGATAAGTTGTGCTCGGTTGCTCACCACCCGCGAGATGTAACATAGTTGCTTCAAGTCGGTCTCTTTGAGCTCAGGTCGAGCATGCATGCACACACTCCTCAACAAACTTGCTGCAACACATCTATACCTTTCAACATGGACCATGGTTGTGAGTTCCTCGATGAATGAATACCCTGTTTGCCTTAGCATAGCCAGGCAGTTGCCGACATTGCCTATTGCCAACATTGCTAATGCTTGTCCTGCGACCTTCCTTAGGGCTTCTCTGGAGTGAGAAACACATGCATTTATACTACTCGAGGACTCGCCTGGAGTGAGAAACACATGCATTAATCTTGCAATGATCCTTTGGCCACGCCCAATCCCTTGTCTCATGTTGGCATCGATAGCAAGGTTTCTAAGAATTTCTGCCGCCAACTTCCTTGTCTCATAGTGACTTGTGATGTCTCCCAGGATCTCTGAGAGCTTTCTGTCGTAGTGTTATGTCAATCTCTCCATCGATGCAAGTGAACCTGTACAATTGCTTCAACGATGAGTGAACTAGAGCCATCTTTTCAGCTTCGGTATATCTAGTGTCACTTCTGCAAAAGCTTGTGAATCTTGTGATCTTCCACATGAGATCAGTCGCTTTGCTGATCTCTGCACAGTTGCTTTGTTCATAAGTAGCTAGGCTTTGAATAATGGACATACCAATTACTGAGAGAAGATCCTGCTCTGTCAATGGTCCTTCGTGGGGAACTGACCACAATTCAGAAACTTGTCGCCACCATTTGACTATCCAGAAGTTATGCTCGTTACTATTACCAATTTGCTGGGTTGAGTGCTCTTGTGTTTCGAGCAGTTTACCAGTGTCCAGAACTTCATCTCCCCTTTCTGTTTTGTCACCGGTGGCATTTACAAATAGATCATTCTGTTGTTGCTCTTCCTCATTTGTGTCCAGAAGTGGGTTTACTCTTTTATGTTGGTGACCCCAATCCAAAAGTAGAGACACATTCTGAACTATCCCAGGGCTATTGTCAACCAGGAGACTTTTTGCAACCTCATTAATCACCTTCGCTGCAAACAATCTAATAGTAGTTTCATTCACTTGGCCTATCAATAGTAGTACTCTACTCCTTGGCCAAGTACCATCCCATAGAAGATATTTAAAGTTGGCACCATATTTGTCTTGGAAGGATTATTTGTATCAACGTCATACTGCAGTCTAAGATGTATCAATGGGAGCACCACACGAGCAATCGCTGCAGGAATCTGAAAGTTGCCAAATGAAAATAAAACTACAGTAGATGCTTCAATCGCAATCATCGCAAGTCCCATGTACAGACCTGTGGGAAAGCCTCATCTTCCCCCTCACCGGTTCCTAAAGAGGGTCGGAGGCCAGGCGTGACCCCACTCCAAAGATTACAGAGGAAGTGAGCCACCAAGCTTGCTGACGCTAACGCTAGCAGAGTCGTCACGCCACCTAATTAAACCCAGAGACAATGGCACCTACCGGCTGGTGCACACGATGTATTTCAATGGATCGACAACCAAATCATAGCCGAGACATCATAAAGAACTAGCTTCCGGTTGCCTCGGGCCGGCATGTGGGCGGCACCAAAACCCAGGCTAGACCTGAGCAAGTTCTCACTTGCACAAAATAATATTTTAAAAAAGCATCTTAAACAAAACCTGGTAAGAATTTGAAAATATATAATCTTGGGCGACGCCCTCGATGCACCACCCCATGTTAGCCTCGTCCGTGGCCTGAACCTTCGATCGTCCTAGCGTCCCTCGCACCCAAAGGAGACCAAATCCTGGCGAATCCCTCGTCTGTCTGCTCGACAGTGGCTCCCGCGACGGTAACCCTAACCCCCTCGGTGTGGGAGACCTTGGTACTGTGTTCCTGCAGTATAAGAGCCGCCTGATGGACCCGTTCGACAGAAGGCGGCCCTTGATGAGCTAGCTCCGGCGCCGATGAAAGAAGACGGAAGGCGGTGGCCCCCGAAAACAGAGTCTCCCGTGCCCTTTGAAGGGTGGTTGGAGCAGGGGCGTGGAATGTCCATAGCACCCCTGCAATCCTATAGAAGTGTCACCCTGCTCAGCGCGGGCGGCTTGTAATTTCGCCAGGCCCCATGGTTATGGCTGATAAATACCTGGTGGGTGGCATTGTAACGGATGATTTTTAATGGCCATTTACTCCAGAATTGATTGCAACGCTCAGATGTGCCGCTAGTCGCAACCTCCGCTTTCATATACCTATGGAAACCCTCGTCCTCCCCCTCACCGGCTCCTAACAAGGGTTGAAGGCCCGGTGTGACCCCACTACAAAGATCACAGAGGCAGTGAGGCACCAAGCTTGCCGACGCTAACGCAATGGTCCGCTGCCTAAACCCAGAGACAATGGCACCTACCGGCCGGTGCACGTGACATCTTTCAACAACATCGACTACCAAATCATACTTGAGATGATAAAGAACTAGCTTCCGGTTGCCTTGGGCCGGCATGTGAGCATCACCAAAAGCTAGGCTAGACCTGAGCGAGTTCTCACTCACACAAAGTAATATTTTTTAAAAATCATCTTAAACAAAACCTGGTAATAAGAATTTGAAAATATATAATCTATTAGGGGACGCCCTTGATGCACCACCCCGCGTTAGCCCTCGTATGCCTGCTCGACAGTGGCTCCCCATGATGTTAACCCTAACCCCCTTGGTGAGGGAGACCTTGGTACTGTGTCCCTGCACGATAAGAGCCGCCTGACAGACCCGCTCAAACGGAAGGCTACCCTCGACGGGCCAGCTCCAGCGCCGTTGAAATAAGATGAAAGGTGGTGGCCCTCGGACATGGAGTCCCCTGCGCCATTAGAAGGGTGGTTGGAGCAGGGGAGTGAAATGTCCATAGCACCCCTACAATCATGTAGAAGTGACTCCCCGCTCAGTGAGGGTGGCTTGTAATTTCGCTAGGCCCCCTGGGTATGGCCTTTAAATACCTGGCGAGTGGCACTGTAACGGATGATTTTTAATGGTCATTTACTCCAGAATTTATTGCAATGCTCAGACATGCCGCTGGTCGCAACCGCCGCTTTCTTGTACCTGTGGGGAACCCTCGTCTTCCCCCTCGCCGGTTCCTAACGAGGGTTGGAGGCCAGGCGTGATGCCACTCCAAAGATCACAGAGGAAGTGAGGCACCAATCTTGCCGACACTAACGCTACGGTCATCAAGCTGGCTAAACCTTGAGACGATGGCACCTACCGGCCGGTGCACATGATGTATTTCAACGGCATCAACTACCAAATCATAGCCGAGACATCATAAAGAACTAGCTACCGGTTGCCTTGGGCCAGCATGTGAGCGTCACCAAAAGCCAGGCTAGACCTGAGCAAGTTCTCACTTGCACAAAATAATATTTTAAAAAAACATCTTAAACAAAACCTGGTAAGAATTTGAAAATATATAACCTATTGGGGGACGCCCTCGATGCACCACCCCGCGTTAGCCTCGTCCATGGCCTGAACCCTCGATCGGCCTGGTGTCCCTCGCACCCAAAGGAAAGCAAATCCCGGCGAAGCCCTCGTCTGCCCGCTCGGCGGTGGCTCCCTGCGATGGTAACCCTAACCCCCTTGGTGAAGGAGACCTTGGTACTGTGTCCCTACAGGAGAAGAGCCACCGGATGGACCCCCTCGAAAGGAAGGCGGCCCTCGACGGGCTTGCTCTAGCGCCGTTTAAAGAAGACGAAAGGCGGTGGACCCCCGAGATGGAGTCCCCCGCGCCGTTAGAAGGGTGGTTGGAGCAGGGCTGTGGAATGTCCATAGCACCCCTGCAATCCTGTAGAAGTGACGCCCCGCTCGGCGAGGGCGGCTTGTGATTTCGCTAGGCACCCGGGTATGACCTATAAATACTTGGCGGGTGGCACTGTGATTTTTAATGGCCATTTACTTTAGAATTTATTGCAACTCTTAGATGTGCCACTAGTCGCAACCTTCGCTTTCTTATACTTGTGGGAAAGCCTCGTCTCCCCCTCGCCAGTTCCTAAAGAGGTTCGGAGGCAAGGCGTGACCCCCACTCAAAAGATTACAGAGGCAGTGAGGCACCATGCCTGCCGACGCTAATGCTACGACCATCACGCTGCCTATACTAGATGCTGATTACAAAGCTTTTGTCTCTGACTTTGGCATTGCAAGAATGTTAAAAGCCGATTCATCAAATTGGAGTGTATTAGCAGGAACTTATGGCTATATAGCACCTGGTATGTATGTTACTCACGATACAATATTATCCACCAAAATGTTTCACAATACAATACAACATATATATTCTAATTATTTATTTCCATTTTCATTGTAGAATTTTCCTACACATCTTTAGTCACAGAGAAATGTGATGTATATAGCTTTGGCGTGGTGGTGCTTGAGGTGTTGATGGGCAAACATCCACGGGACCTACAAAATCATGTTGCTTCACTTGAAAACCAATTTGTACTAGAAGAAATTTTGGATAAACGTCTTCCCACACCTGAAGCTGCTGAAGAAAAAAATGGGAATAGCTGTCTCTCCATGGCATTTCGCTGTGTTCTTCCTTCACCACAGGAGAGGCCAACTATGATGGAAGTTTTCTGAGGACTTGCCATTTAATTTGAAGCAATGTGCATGCATTGTAATGGTATATATGTTTCATGGCATATAGAAACAAGAAAAATATATATGTTAACAGCTATGCCATCTGGTTAGAAATGTCAAGATTTTGGTGGACTACATGTACACAAGTTGACATACTTTAACCTTTACCTATATCATGTGTTCTTGCTCATCAAAATAAAATTTTTATAAGTAAACCATAATCAGAATTGATGTTTCCTTTTTATTATCCTTGCAATTTGTTATAATGAATTTTAGAAATTGTACATTGTATCTTGTGGTTACGGTATTGTACACAAGAGTTGTAATATCCATCGCTGACAATTGGTAATTACATATCATTCTGTGAGACATACCAAATGTGTAATGAAGTGTTTCACAATGGGCAATAAATTCACACAGTACTAGGTTTAGTCGCAAGCAAGTGACATTTTTGGGTTGTGTGAAATCAGTACGGTAGGTTCTAAATCTTAAAAAAATCACCTTTTTTGTTGAAATTGGATATCGAAAATGGCCGCTTTTAGGGGCTGCCCTACCCTCTATATGTCTGGGAAGATGCTCGTCATGTTTGGTGGACAAGGAATGATCACCTCGCTGAACCCTGCCTTTATCTTGCAATGTTTGATGCCTATATTTGGTTTGTTGCCGCTGGGTCTGTGTGGGGAGTTCGTTTCTATCAAGGATTCTTATTTCAAGGTGTCATGCCTCTTGGTTTCCTTGGTCTTTCTCTACTTACGTTTGGTCAGAGAAATAGCTTGCTCACTCATGGTTGTTTTAATGAATATCATCAATGATAACAGCAAGGACACAAGCAGAAGTTGAAACATTTTTAATTGGAATATTAGAGGTTTGAATTCTGAAGATAAATGTAATGCAATCAAAGAAAAAATAGGGGAAAGTGCAGGTTCAATCTTTTGCATCCAGGAAACTAAATGGGAGCATTTTGACCATTCATATTTCAAAAATATTAGCTCCCAAGCCCTTATTACCCATCAGAAGGTGCATCTAGAGGTATCTTGCTGAGCTGGAATAGCTCAATCTTTACTGCTGAAGTGGGTCAAATAAACAAATTTGCTGTCACAGTTAAGTTCACCTCAACCCATAATGGACAAGTATGAACCGTCACTTCTATCTATGGTCCCTGCACTACAGGAAACTGGCTCTTTGCCGACTGCAATTTTCTTTGCCAACTGTTTTTTTTCGACACTCGGCAAAGAGGTCCCTTTGCTAACCGGAATTTCCTGCAATTTCGGAAAGCAGATTTGCCGATCGCTCGACTTTTGCCGATCGCCAGCAGCTATAAAGCCATGGATTTGCCGAACGCCGAGTGCAGTTGGCAAAGAATTGCAATCGGCAAAGGCAGGCCATGGTTGACGCCATCCCACCGTCATTTTTGCCGACCGCCACTCCGCCGCCAGCAATAGCATGAGCTTTGCCAATCGCCATCCTCCCGGCGATCGGCAAAAATTTTTTTTTTTTTTCGATCCATTTTTTTGTTTTTTGCCTTGATCTGATAAGTACATGATATATTTCAAGTTTGGGATCATTTTGATATTATTTTGCTATATGTGGAGATGTCCGTGTTTTAGCCACCGACGCCGCCACTTGCTCGAAACTTTCTCAAATTTTACTACAGCCTAATCCGGTGATGCGATGACAAGACACATGAAGTTTGGAGCATATTTGAGGACCGCTTCGATTTTATAAAATTTAAAAAATTTTTTCACGCTGGCGGGTTTGCTGTGTTCGGACACCAACACTGGCCGAATTTCACGCGAGGCCTCAAGACACGGCCTCAACATGCTCCAAACATCATGAATATGGCGAATCACGGATTCCATTATTTCATGTACCGCAGTCAAATTGAGTCAGAAAAAATCAAAGAAAATGTAAAAATCAATGGAATATAGCAAAATAAATCAAAATGACCCCAAACTTGGAATATATCATGTACTTATCAGAAGCAAGGCAACACAAAAATCGGGATCAAAAATCGAAAAAAATTAATTAATTTTTGCCGATCGCCATCACAAGGCAGCTAACAGAAGAGCTGCCGAACGCCTGGGAGGATGGCAATCAAGCAAAGAATTTCGAGAAAAATCAAAATAACCT